ACCTTTCTGCGTAGGCGGCCTTCGGCCGCACTTAGGGATTATAACCCTCAGGCAGTAGAATTCTCCTTTCTGTGTTGCCAAAGAAGGGGGCTGAACACCTTTTGCAGAGAACACCTTTCTGCGTAGGCGGCCTTCGGCCGCACTTAGGGATTATAACCCTCAGGCAGTAGAATTCTCCTTTCTGTTTTGCGAAGAAAAGGAGCTGAACACCTTTTGCAGAGAACACCTTTGTATATTTTTAATGCTTACTGGGTTATATCCTATCTTCTTTTGTCTCTCATTCTTTTGCATATTTTGGAGTTTGACAGCTGAACTCCGCCATTTAATTTGCATATGCAACCAAAGTCAGACGCGTGATTTTGAAGGTGTTTTTATTTAATGAATTGTGATGAATTGGTTAATATTAAAGTCGTAAAGCAAGTTATAACAAATCAAGTAAAGTGTAAAGTGAAGGGGAATACAAAAATATATTGGTAAAGTGGCTAATTTAAGCAGAATAGGAGTGATAAATGTACGCTAATTTCCGAATTTTACAAAAAAGGGCATATTTCAAACCCAATTTGTAAATAAATTAGTAACCAAAATTTACAAAAGTGAGTGTTAAAATATTGCGTCGACCCTTGACTACAAGTGTGTGAAATTTTTTTTTGGATCGGGCCACCCATTTGGACGGAATAGCCCGAAATAGTTGTGAGCGGTACTAAACCCCACCCGTTTTCATGGCTATTGCCACCACGAAATGAGAATTTCAGATGTACATAATGCGCACAATTAATATATTTTTTATGATATCGTATATGCAATTAACTGTGCCCTAATCTTTGAAGCTCCTACAGCATAAATTAAGTTCTCTGGCTTTCGGTATCACGGCAATTTTAGGTGTATAGCAACAATTGTCTAAAATTTTTGTATATGACAACACCGAATTTGCTGCAGTTTGACCAAACAAAATTAGTTTGCTGTGAGAGTCGCCAAACTCGCTCTCTCCGAGTTTGCTGCAACAACAATTGCACGCAGTTTGCCAAACAAAATTTCTGCATAACACCGACCGTAGATAACAAGAAGGGACAACTCGATATAATTGTAGCGAGAGTGCGCAACAGGGGCCTGCCTTCTCTTTTGCCCTAGTGCGTTTTTTGATTGGATGAAAAGAGAAGGCGCACTTTCGCCACAATTATAACGAGTTGTCCCTTGTTATCTACGTTCTTTGGTAGAAGGGGAAAATTTTAGTAGACGGACGGCAAATTCTAGAAAAAGGGGGATGAGGGGGGGTAGAATAGGACCCCCTGATTTCAAAAATTCCCCCCTTTTTTCTAGCAACCCTATAGTTCTTATATAATTTATTGTTAAAGTTTTCATATAAACGATGAATAAGAGCAAAATAACATACAACTTGGTGCTGCCAGACTGAAATTTTGAATAATAGCGGATTTTTAATACGGAATTTTCACTTAGTAGAATTCTCCTTTCTGTGTTGCCGAAGAAAGGGGGCCTGAACACATTTTGCAGATAACACCTTTTTGCGTAGGCGGGCTTCGGCCGCACTTAGGGATTATAACCTTCTCTACGTAGAATTCTCCTTTCTGTGTTGCCGAAAAAAGGGGGCGGAACACCTTTTGCAGAGAACACCTTTCTGCGTAGGCGGGCTGCGGCCGCACTTAGGGATTATAACCCTCTACGTAGAGTTCTTTCTATTGTATTGTTTTGTACGGTATGGCAACACGTCTTATGTGTCAGTTTGCAACCATGTGTTATTAGGTGCGTTTGCGTAGCTGTTAATTGTTCAAGTTTAACCAAAACTTACAGGTTTTTGCGTTCGCGTACGCAAAAAACTTGCAAAGTAGGGGAAATTGAGAGAGCAAAGTGACATTTCATTTTGAGGGGAAGCTGTTAGTTTCTGTTGGAAAAATTTTTCCCAACAGCAATTTGCCAACAGGGAAACAGCTGATCAAAAACAGCTGGTTGGCATTTACGCAAATCACAAAATTGAATTTGATGGTTTGGAAGATAAAAATTACAAAATGCGACTAATTAAACTTGTAAGAAATAAGTAGTTATTTGTTTAATCAATAAACTGTGTCAGTATAACACTTTGCGACGACTTTTCGTACGTTTTAAATTTTACACTTTTGTATGTAAACAAAAATTATATCAGCTGTTCGTCTAACTTGCAAGTTTCTGCAAATTTTCTGTTCGCGTACTATTTTGGATATTTCTCTCTTGTGAGAGAACAGATGAAATTTCGCCGGAATTTGGCAGTTGGTTGGTTTCTGCTGGAGATTTTAAACGAACGCACCTATTGTATTATGATTGTAAATATGGGTGCAATGTAATGTAATTACAAGTTAATAAAAGTTGGATTAAAGTGATTTAAATACAAGATAAAATAAAATAAAAGTGTCTAAACTATTAGGTAGTGTTATGTGCATTTATATATATGAAAGTATGTGACAAATGCACTCTTTGATAAGGAAATCAAGTGGAACGTCTTAAGAAATTTTAACAACAATTAACTTATATACAATTATATTGTTTATATTTTTTACTAATACATGTTTTAGAGGATACCTCCCTTAACATCCTGACTAAGTTTCAATTGTTAATTCCACCTGGTTTTCTTAAAACACAAGGTGCGGCTGAATACTAAAGCCCACCCCCGTCCGAAAACACTACAGTACAGATATATCAATAAACACGTACGAAAGAAAAGGAACACATACGTGCATAAATAAACATGTACACAACACATATACAAAAACGGCACCCACCTTGCAAAAAGTGGGACTAGATTAAACTCTAGTACAGGACCACACTACGACGTAACTAACACTAGTAAACGAAATGGTCCAAATATATGAAAAAAATATGGTTACATTAACATTGCGATGCCATTGGACCTGACCACCTTTGGTCCAACGCAGCATAACGCTGGACCACCCACGACAGTCGGGTCTACGTAACCGGAACGACCCCGATTTATATCTGGCCAAGGACTGTCACTCCAGCAACACTCTCCAAAATCTCTGGGGAATTTGTATGCTGTTACAACAACAACAACAACCACCTACGTAACCACACCTTTTGGACCATCGACGCGACTGCTTACACTGGACCATATACGTAACCACACCTTTTGGTCCATCGACGCGACTGCTTACACTAGACCACTTCTTAAAGTGTACCTACTGGACTATTATATCTGGTGGTTGCACTAGATCATGTTGTTGTTGTTGTTGTAGCGGCTACAACAACCCCGCCCAGATCGGTTGGTATCTCAGTCGTTGTCGTCAAGTTCCACTAACGGCAACCCTAGGAAGCGTGCAGCTTCTGTGGGATCTGTCCACAGGGACAAGGCCGTTAGGGTTGTCGGGTTTTCCGGGCATGCGAAGAGATGGTTCGTGTCATGTGGGGTCTCTCCGACTGCCGGACATTCGTTCGGCACATCCTCATTCAGTCTACTCAAGTAGGAGTTTAACCTGCTGCAGTAGCCGGAGCGAAGTTGAGCGAGTGTAGTGCGTGTCTCCCGAGGCAGATGAAGCTCTGTCTCGTCAATGTCCGGGGATGGTATGCCTAGAACGGCATTCACAGGTCTACAGTCTACATAACTCGAGACTGAGTCCCTGTGAATGCCGTTCAGGGCCTGTCTGTACGCTGTCGGGTCCAGAGGTTGCTTAATGAACCTCTGGACTTCGTCCGTCAGTTCATATAGATGCCTCCTGACGTGCCTAGGCGAGGGCTCCTCTGCAAGCAGCTGTCTGTTTGGGTGGCCACTTCTATGGCTCCCGATCAGGAACTGCTTGCAGAGCATTATGTTGTGCTCCTTATCTGGGAGCATTTGCGCCTCGCCGTGCAAGTGGTGTTCTGGCGACATCAGGAGGCATCCCGTCGCTGTCCTAAGTGCCGTATTTTGTACCGTCTGTATCTTCGTCCACTGCGTCCTACTAGTCCCTGGCGACCACACTGGCGCTGCGTAGTTCAAAGCCGGCCGGCCTATTGCCTTGTATGTTGCCAGCAACGTTTCTTTGTCTTTGCCCCAAGTACTGCCGGCTAGCGACTTGAGGACCTTGTTGCGGCTCTGTACTTTATTGACAATAGCGGTTGAGTGCGCAGAGAAGGAGAGCAGGCTGTCGAATGTTACTCCGAGTATTTTGGGGTTATTCACCGTCGGAATTGGTGTGTCATCGACGTGAATCCCCAGCGGTAGCTCGACCTCCTTCGTC